ACCCCCCCCTCCCCACTAATATGACATGCCTCTCCTTCAAGCAATCCAAGGTAAAAGTTGATTGGCATGCATACATCCATTGCTAAGGACTTGTTTACTGCATCTAGACATTCCTCATGTTTTATAGGCTTATTCATGAAAATCAAATGAATCGGATGCTTGTATGGTACCACTATTACTTCTATGCTTGACTTGATCTAGTGGTAGCATATGACATGTTTGTGGGCTTGTGAACCTAGTGTTTGATCTAGAAAATGAACTATAAGTGTTTAACTCAACATGGTCAAGATAACCCTTAAAACGAGGTGTGAAGAAGCTTGTCCTTGGATCAAACCAAGTTAAATATCTTTAGCAAGTGCTCTAGATTGAACCAATTTTTGGAAAATAACCCTCACCCCATTGATTGGCATTGATAATCTTAACATATCTAAAATTGAACCATTGTGGTCATTGATGACAAAGGGGGGAGAGAAACAAGGATAAAAGTGATAGGGGGAAATGGACATAGGGGGAGAGAAATGACAAAGGAAGGGGATCAATTAAAATTTGAGCACACAACTAGGGGGAGCAAGCTCATGAACTTGAATGTTGCATTTGAATGTGCATTCACATATGCCTGCTTGCATTTGAAAAAGTTTAAATTCAATATACATGCTTGTGTGGTGTATGCTAGTTGTAGGTTTGATTGATGAAATGAAAAACTAGCATGCATAGGATGATAGCTAGATACTTGGTTTGTTTCACAAGTGGTACTAGAGCCTTGCTTATAATGTTGATCTCACGAGGTATCTAGTGTTTGTGTTTTCCAAGTGATATCTAGCTAACCATGGTTTTAAGGATGGTATTATTGGTGCACTCCGATTGGTATCACGCTTTAAAGGTCCATCTCTTACATCTTAGTATCACTTGGTAGACATTGCTTTCCCACATTTCCTATCTATGCATATGTGCAAGCTTCAATCCAAACTCTTAGCACATATGTAGGGGGAGCTTCAATCCAATTCGGGTTCATGAAACTTGTCCAAATCCTTTACACATGGTAAAAATGCTTGGGCAAGCAACATGGATTCAAATTTGAATTTATTTCATATCTTTGTAGAGGTTGTCATCAATTACTAAAAAGAAGAAGATTGAAAGCCCTAGTTTGGTTTTGGATAATTGATGAAACCCATTTGGACTAATCCTTGTATCGAAATGAGACTAGATAGGATGGTCCAATCCAAGTGGTGGAGCAAAGATGAAGTCCATGATGATGGTGATGGACATGTGATGGTGATCAAGCTTCGGACTTGGAAAAAAGAAAGAGAAAAATAAAATGGACTCAAGGCAAAGGTATATTTGATAGGACCATTATGTTTTGATGATCAAGACACTTAGTGAGTGTGATCACGTTTAGAATCGATAGCCGTACTATTAAGAGGGGTGAAACTCGATGTGAAATGTGCTTATCAAAGTGCCACTAGATGTTCTAATTCATTGCATATTTATTTAGATTCTAGTGAGTGCTAACACCCTTGAAAATGTTTGTGAAAAGTTGCTAACACACATGCACAAGGTGATACACTTGGTGGTTAGCACATTTGAGCAAGGGTGGAGAAGTTGGAGGTGAGGAGGCATTGTTTCCTATGATTAGACGCAGGACCGGACGCTAGACGTGCGCTCCCGGTCAGCAGTGCAGAAGGGCACGGTCTCGGTCTTGTGACCGGACCCTGAGCGGCCAAAGCGACATGACACGCAGGGGGTGCGTCCGGTCGTTGCTGACGTGGGCTAGTGCGCGAGGCCAGAGAGGACCGGACCTCGCGACGCGTCCGGTCATGCGTGATCTGACTCGTCCGGTCGTCGAAATCCCTCTCTAGATGCTTTATGGAGTCGACCTGACTCTGCGATGGCACAGCGTCAGGTGGCGGAGAGTCGCGTCCGGTCTCGGCGCGTTGGGTGCTCGGGCGCGTGCGAGCGGACACAGGGGCGCTGCATCCGGTCTCGACTCGACGCGTCCGGTCTTCACTTAGCCATTGGCGCTGAGTCACTTGACCGTTGAGATCGGGCGACGCAGGTTTAAAGCATGGACACGTGGCGTGCTTCCAGCGACCGGACGCTGGGTGGCGTGCGCCCAGTTAGTTCACCGGCGCGTCCGGTCGCCCCATGTTTCAGTGCAGTGAGGGGGTAACGGCTCTATTTCGTTTGGCCCCCTATATAACCGTGGTAACCAGTTTGGGCTCACTCTCTTGGCTATTTCTATTGAGAATACACCCTAGTAAGCCTACCCATTCCTCTCTCACTCATCTTCTTGATTGATTCATCATTTGGTGAGATTTGAGAGCATCAAAGTGCATTGCTTTGAGTGATTGCATCTAGAGGCACTTGGTGATTGTGTTTAGCTACGGGATTCGCTTGTTACTCTTGGTGGTTGCCGCCACCTAGACGGCTTGGTGCAGTGAGGATCGTCGAGCGGAGGAAGGTGCTTGTATCCGGCTCCGATCGTGGTGATTATGAGGGGTTCTTGACCTTTCCCCGGCGAAGAGCCAAAAGGTACTCTAGTGGATTGTCCGTGGCTTGTGTGATCCTCATCTTGTGTTGGTTGTGCGGCACCTGATTGCGGGTTAGGCGTGTGATGCCTATTAGCATGTGAACCTACAAGTGAGTGAATCACCACAACGGAGACTAGCTTGCCGACAAGCAAGTGAACCTCGGTGAAAAATCATTGTATCATCTTGTCTCTGAGGACTTCATTGGTATTCTTGTGATTGATTGATTGCCACTTGCTACGGCGGTATAACCTCGCTATCTCTCTTGTGTATTTACATTCTAGTGTAGCTAACCTCTTTAGTGTAATTACTTTGAGAGCTAGTTTGTGTCAAGTAGTTTGGTTAGTGAGGCTCTTTAGTTAGTCTTTGAGAGATCACTAACTTAAAAAGTAGTGACTTAGCCTTTTGTGTGATATAGTGATCATAACAACTAGAATTCTGGATAGGTGGCTTGCTTTTTAGTAGGCTAGCGCAATACTCGTTTCGCCATTTAATTATCTAACTATTTGGTTTAAGTGTTGTAGTAGAAATTTTTATAGACTATTTATCCTCTCTCTAGCCATTTAGGACATTTAAATCCGTTGATAAAGAACTCTGACAAAAGATAATTTGTCAGTTAGAATTGGCAGTGGGTCACCCTCCTGCAATTTCTTTAGTATAAATGAAAATTAGCCACCTGTTTTTTGAGTCCTCTGTTGCTAGATTGCTACGGACTGTGGTATCAACCTTTTTGCATTTGGTAGTAGGACTGTGAATGTAAATCTTTACTTGTTGTGGATCAAGCAATTTAACAGTTACACGGTTCAAATAAATATACTACCAAGACATATTCAATGAAAATTAATGAAACTAATTTAATGTTATAGATGGTGTATTGTTCTATAAACTTGATCAAAGATAGTTGCTTAGGACAAAACCAAAATAAAGTATAATGTGGAATTGAGCGTGTATGTTTAATAAACTTAGTTTTTCTTGGCTGGAGAAATTTACAAAGAAACAATACGTGGCCAAATTTTATGGGCCATCAAAATTTTGTTGTCTTCTCAAGGTCACAAAACCAAACACATCCCATATAGGGCCATCTGTCCCTAGGTTTGCCTTCTCCTTCCCTTTTAAATTAGGCTTCTGAGGACTAATAACACTGACAGACATTCTAATAACTAATATGGTAATGCTTCCTGTAAGGCATCCGGACAACCGGACGCTATCTTCATATGCAGTGGACCGGCCCAAGAGGTAACTAGCCTGCTCCCCTACTCTCCCATCTCTGTGACCAATAACTTCCCCACTCCACCCGTCGCGGTGTTCACCGCGCCGTCCACCCCTCGTCTCCCCGTCACGGCGTCCACTTGTGACAGTGCCAGACGACGCGAAATTCAGGCTGCCATAGATCTCTTCCCATCTAAGCTTCTTGCTCCAGCACCCACCCATCCTCTGCGTCATCGTCACTGTCGCGCCCTACATCATCCACTAAAGCGACCTGCCACGGCCTGCTCCTACCGCTGCTCCGCGCACCCGCCTTGCTGCTCCTGCTGTTGCTCCTACTCCGTCTCCTACCCCGCCCCACGACGTCGATAGGCACCGCCAGCGCAAGGAGAAGCACCGAGCCCTAGTGCGAAAGTCCATCCGGCCTCGCCTCCTGCTACGGCTGCAGCGCCCCGACCATCCGGCCTCGCCTCCTGCTACGGCTGCGGCGCCCCGATGCAGACGACGGAGGAGGCCGCACTAGGATATGATGAATGTTGCAAGTGTACATTTCAAATGTTTCAGATGTTTTAGAGATATGTTTCAAATGTTTCACATGAATGTTGCAAAAGTATCAGGATGTTTCACACGTATGTTGCAAGCGTCTGTCCCTAATGTTTCATTTGTTTTGCAGACGTACAAGCGTATTTATCTGGATGTTATATATATTTCACACATATGTTACAAAATGTTTTATCTACTGGCTTATGTTTGCAATGGTTTTTAATTATTTTTTAAGTGTTTCAGATACATGTTTCAATTATTTTATTATATTTTTTTATATGTTGTAATTGTTGTATCTAGATGTTTTAAAAGTAGATGTACATGGAATGCGCGTGGAAAGCCGGAGAGGGGCACGAGGGAACCCCGCGTGGGCGACGTTTGGACGGCGCGGCCCCGCGTAGGCACGGGTGACGCATGTGCGATCGAGCGACATCCGGACGCCGCGAGCCCACGCGTTGACACGCAAACCGGAGGGAAGAAACCGACTGCATGCAACCGCGGGCATCCGGACGCGGGTGTCCGTCCGGCACTAGCACTTCCCTAACTAATAGTAACAGTTACAAACATTTATCACAAACAAAACAGTGACAAACATATCCGGTGGGTGGCAGGATAAAACGTCACGTGCTCATACTTGTTTGACTTCTGATAACTAATAGTAATAGAACGAATCCAGATGCAACATTAAACCAAAGCGGATTCAGCAAAGCTGCAGACCTGCAGTCCATGGAGATCCCGAAGATAGACCTCCGCGGGCTGGAGCCCGGCAGGCTGGGGTGGGAGGAAGCCCGGGCCGCGGTGACCGCGTCCATGGTAGCGCACGGCTGCGTCATCGTCGCGCACGACGCGCTCGGCCCGGACCTCCGGCGGCCGCTGTTCTGCCGCGCCATGCCGGAGGTCTTCGCGCTCCCGCTGGAGGCCAAGCAGCGGAGCGACTCCCGCTGGGGGGCCGTTCAACGGCTACATCAGTGGGGTCCCCGGCATGGCCATGGAGAGCATCCGTGTCGCCGAGGCCGCCGACGCCGGCAGCGTCCGCGACTTCGCCCGCCTTCTCTGGCCGCAGCAGGGCAACCAGGAACTCTGTTTAACCACCCACGATTCCTGCCCATTTCCATGCCATCCATCATCTTTCAGCGTTCTCAAACGCATCTCGTTGTTTCTGTCACGGCAATTTCACACGGTATCGATCGATCCGCCCGCCGTCCAGTGACACGATCGTCTCATTTGTCAAGAACATGCTGAAGCTGGAGCGGATGGTGGAGAAGATGACGCTGGAGGGCCTCGGCGTCGGGACGAGAAGAGCGTCGGCGACCACCTCGAGTCGCTCACCCACGGCGTGCGGCTGTCGCGCTACGGCGCGCCCCTGGACAAGGAGACCGGCGTGTCCATGAAAGAGCACCGCGACGACACCATGGTAACGGGGATCGTGCAGCACGAGGTGGAAGGCCTCGAGGTGCAGGCCAAGGACGGGGGCTGGACCGCCGTCCCTCCCAAGCCGGACACGGTCACGTTCGTTGCCGGCGAGCAGTTCAGGGTATGTACGGATCAATCCACACTTTATCTTCTCCGATCAGTCAGGATCTCCCGATTGATATGTCGCGTACGTCGCGCAGGTCGTCACGAACGGGCGGGTGCCGGCGTGCCTCCACCGCGTCAGGACGCCAACCTGCCGCGAGCGCTTCTCGATTCTGTTCGGTTGCCGGTCCAGGGACAACGCCACGGTGCGCGCGATGGACGAGCTCGTCGTCGACGGTGACCAGCCTCTGTGGTACGAGCCCGTGAGGTACGAGTACTCCAGCGCGCTAATCGGGCGAACCGCTGATGGATTGGAGAAAGATGAACCCATCATGGCGTGATATGTGGCCACAAAGAAGGGTTCCGTACTGTAGGTCTGCAGCTACGGAAGAATCCAACTTTCATCCCTTTTCAATAGCCATCGCAATTGTCTTGTTAAAATATATAATAATGTAAAAAATCCTTGCAATATGCGCATAAAATGGAATAAACTTCCATCACTCCGAGCATGTAGATAGGAAAGCAGCAACACAAACATGCCACCACAACGCTTACATTGCTGCAACAATGTTTGATTACAATCATGGGACTCATGTACAGGTATTACAATCATGAGACTCCCAGCAATGTTTGATTACAGGAATTAATCAACTAGCTATGGCCTACACTTGAGTAAGATCCTAAAGAGCGATGAAAATGTATGTATCTTAAGTCTGGCCCATCCTTCCTGGGACAAGGTACAGTTGCGCATAGATCATCATACATACTCTCTCGGACCAAAAATGTGAAGCGGGGCCGCTTAACAGGAGGTTGGGATTTGCAGTGGAGATGTCAGCAAGAGCAATCTTCTTTGTGATGACAGCAGGAATTTCCAAATTGGAGGACTGTTGCAAAGTTTCACTTGAGGAAAGTGCAACCCAAGAACATGAAAACATAAGCCGTCAGCGAAGTAAGGAGCTCAAGGGACCATGTAGGCGGGATGATGAAAGCTGGGATCACTGGAACAAGAAAAGAACCCAAGATCCAACCACCCACAAAGACTCCGAGCCTGGAAAAATAAACAAGTTAAAACCTGGGGCATGACTTATAACAACTAAGATAGTATCCAGTGGAAATGCTCACTAACCCTGTGGTGGACGCCCTGACAAGATTCTTCATCTTCTTGTTGAGGAAGTATACGCATGCGACGAGTGACAGAGCAAGCTGCAAAAGCAAATTGTCAATGGCGTGCCTCCAAAATTTGTTACAGCTGAAAAGGTTACTGTGGTAAGCTTCATCTTATATATGATTCCAGTTTCATAATTCTAATTCTCACAAAACAAAAGGGTAAAGATAATCTTCCAGCTACTGTGAATACCTGACTTTTGGAGAGGCGCTAGAGAAAGAGGTACACAGTAGAAAGTCATAACCTTAATGACATCAAACTTATGACCTTACATAAATAATACAGTTTTGGCCCTTCAGTGAACATGTATGATGCAGGGAGAGCAACGTCTTAAATTTAACAAATTCAGTACTTAAAACAGTATTTGAGTAGCTATCCAAATGAATCAAGGCATACCTGAAAGGTAGGCCCAGTCTCAGCAGAAGTTGCAATGCTCCACCCAGCAAAGAATGCAAAAAAAGCAAATCTCCTTGAAATGAGCTCTAGTGATGGCACCTCAAAGTATCCAAGCAGTGCCTTAAGCCATGAAGGGGATTCTTCAACTTGCTTTTTTAACTTGCTTTTCAGATTGATTTTGGATTTCTTACGGTGTGAGTAGCTATTCATTATTATCTTGTCATAAGCACCTTCAATTGCCTCTTCACTTTCTTCATATCCAGCGTATTGTTTTAGAAGAAAATTCCGTGCACTCTGGACCTCTTCTTCAGATGCATCATGATCAACACCAAGAAGCTTGTAGGGATCCCATGATTGTTGTCTTGGAAATACTGGAGTGTGCTCTGCAGATGCAATAGATAGGTCAACTGCATTGCAGATACAGTAGCTAATGCTGGTACTAAAACAACCAACAGCACAAAACTGAAGACAGAGTCTTCCAGGTTAAAAAAAATTAACTGAAATAACAACCATGATGATGAAAAACCTAAAGACAATTATCTGTTAGCCACAGAAAATTAGTATTAAGGGCATGTATTAAAGGTTCATTGATCACATGTCAGGCTAAGTTTTGCTAAATGCTAACTCAATATCTCCACTGGAGAGATATGGTAGACAAGCAGCTTCAGTTGCAAGATTTTCACTTCACCAATCAAAGTGTAAATACACCCAAACATAATTCAAAATGCTTGTTCCAAATTCTAACTAAGGGTGTAATTCGGTTCATGTCCAGAGCACGCCAGAACTCACTGCACCTACAATTAGCCTCTGTTTGCTTCGCAATCTAACTTGCGGCATGCTGAATTCACGAAGACAGCCGCATACACTTTTTGGTCGCCCTGCTTGCGGCGTGGCCAGTTCTGGTCAAGAACCAAACAGTCCCTAAGTGAATGAAACTTTTTTGAAGTTATCATTTCGAGCTGAAACATGATTGACTAACTCAGTATTAACACACTGTGGCCCTAGAAACAATTGCAGACCAAAAGAATGGCAAAAAGAAAAGAAAAGTTATAGGTATTTCTGCATAGCCTCAATAAACAAAGACAGGTAAAACCCCAGTCTCAAAATATGAAAAGTAAGTTTCATTATCTAAAAAATGAAAAGTAAGTTTTGTACCTAGATTCCATCTCGTTTGATCTTATCAGGACAATCCAGAGGGATACGGTTCTTATCAGCCAGTAACCATTTCCCAGATTCACCAAAAAAATAAGGGGGGCTAAGTTAAGCAAACTGGGCAGGGACACAGGTGATTTATGGTTTCCCAAGGAGGTAACATTTGTGGATGTCACAGGGCAAATTGTGTCTCAACGTTTCTCTTATCTCCCAGAACGATAGAGTTGACCAGAAGAGACGATTTTTGCAGACTTTGTGCAGGTTTTTAGTCAACAAAAAGGCAACATGCTCAATTGTTCACATCAATTGCCTTGGGAAAACCACTAAGCTTCTTTTAGGCTGAAAGAAGCTTATTTGGTAACAGGCCATTATACACAAATCAAAACCTTCTGCCTCAGTGTCTCCCTTTCCTTTAGGATCATGTTCGATTGTTTATTTATTCTGAACTCGATAAACTATAGCATACTTGTAATGCCTCCCGAGTTTTGCTTCCTAGATAAGCAAGGTAGCATAATAACTGCAGCTACGGCATTAACTGAACCTACGGTTTCTCCGTCCTTACCGCTGCCGTAGCTGCTGACGCCGACGGAGAGGCTCCCGGAGCACCGGGGCCGTGTCAGGGGCGCGCCTCTTCTTCCCGCCAAAGCATCCTCCGCCCCAGCTCTGCAAAATTCACCAAAGCCACATGAACTAATCAGCACGTGAAGGCGGGAAACTAATAACTGACTAGCTAACACGTCAAGACTCAAGAGGATGGAAATGAGCCGAGCGTACAGGTGAAGGAGGGGCCTTGGGGGGCGATGCAGCGGGCGGGCGGTGAACGCTGCCCGGTTGAAGGCGGCGGCGGCCTGCATCTCCGCCGCCGCGACGACGCGACGTGGGGGTGGGGATGGAGGGGTGGGTGGGATGGAGGAGGCGGAGGCAGAGGCGGTGCGATGGCGGCGAGAGGAGGAGATGCGTGACCGCGTGAGACGGAGTAGTTGGGGATCGGATAGGATGACGGAGGAAGGGGAAGAAAGGTGGCCGGCGGCGTGGTTGGTGGGTCCGTGGGTGCGAGTCGTATTTTTAATGGACCGAATTAAGGCCCGACCCATGAGAATGACCCTGATTCGGCCCACTAATGGAGGACTTAAATGGTCTACAGATTGAATAATTTGAACGTGCGCTAGATATGCGTACCGCCAACTTAAAAACGGAGAGATCTTTCAAATAATTTATTATTTTTTCTCAAAAAGAATTTCATGTCGGAGAAATTAGGAATCTGCAACGAGCAGAACTTCAATGAATTTAACATAACCTTTAATGGCATGTCTAGAATAAGCAGTGAACATGAGGTGATCCACCAACAATGACCCGATAGCGTCATGCCATTCATGTGGTCAGTTCGAGAACGCATGAGGCAGGGCAATCTTGTAGGGCCATTAAGGCCGTCCCTAACGCTCCACTCTGGACGTTGGCCATATCGGTAGCAATCACCATGGAGGAGAGAGTGTAGAAAACTGAGCTTGCAGAACTGCAGAGAAGCTTGCAAAGGCACCAGTGGTTTGGGGAAAAAAACTATGGTCCAAGAGAGAATGAGAGGGGATAATTGAGGGGCAAAAGACACAAGACGCATCCAAGACGTACTGCTACGATGTAGGCATAGTACCATGTTCGTTTCACTAAAATTTGGCTTATGCTGATTTGCTATCAGAGAAAAATAATGTTGGTTCACTGAAAAATAGTGTTGAAGTAGTTCAAGCGAATAGAGCCGTTGGTTTAGCTAGCATGTCATACTCTCTCTCTCTCTCTCTCCTCTCCATGGTGGTTAACGTCGGGCTTGCTCTAAGACTATCTCCAACAGTTCATACCTAAATCAGCTACCCATTCCAGAAATTGGGTTCTGCATAGTAAATAGGTCACAGACCCAAAACCTTGCCTCTCCAACAGCCCACCGCGCCTGCCCAAAATATCTCATCGCCTCCTTCATCTCTCTCTCCCTCACTCCTCGTCCCAACCCCCGCGCCTCCGCCCGCACCGCCCACGCCGTGGCTCCCGTCCGCGCCCCCTCCCCTCCCGCCTCCCCTTTCTCTCTCTCCCTCTTCCTCGTCGTGGCAGCGTGGCGGCGGGCTGGAGCGCCGCCTGCTCCTCACGCTGCTCACCTCCACCCCCACGCGGCGCTGCTCATCACCGGCAGCGGGGGAGCGGTCCCAGATCCGGCGAGGCAACCAAGGCCAGCGGCTCCGGAGGTGCTCCCACGGCGAGCTCGCCGAGCCGAGCCGGCCATGCCCCTCTCCTCCTCCGGCCATGCGCCTCTCTCTCTCTCTCTCTCTCCCTCCCCCTCCTCCCTCCCTCCCCCCCAGCAGTGCTCTTGCCGCCAGCCTTGGCGCTCCGGCAGTGCGGCCAGCCTCAGCGGTGTCCGCACCCCATGACTGGCCTCCATGGTGCCGCCCCCCGCCACAGCGCGCGGAGCCCTTCTCGGCCGGCGGGCGGCGCTAGGGCGAAGCGCCCCTGGCGGCAGCTGGCCTGGCGGCGCTCGCGCCCCATGCCTCGCCGTCATCTCATCCGCGGGCCTAGGGCGCAAGATTTTTGCGTCATCTCTCCTCGACGACGCTTATTTGCCTCCCGCGTAGTCTCCGACCCAAAATGGCTGTTGTGTTTGCGTACTCGGTTGGAGGCTGTTTTTTTTTGCCGCTTATCCACTGTGCACGACGCATTTTTGGGATGGGTTGCGTTTTTGGGGACAGTCTAAGGGGCTATTTAGATGCATGTCTACTAAACTTGTCTAAATCTACCAACAGGTTACCTCAACTCTGTTTTGTTTTGACCTTGGTTATCTTATTCTCGTAGGAGTTGTCTTCATCAGCTGTTGGACGCGTGTAGGAAATCGAATGTTTGGGTCTCCTCACAAAGTTGCCTGGCTATAATCACCATGTGGCATATCGTCGTCTTATCATTTTCTCTCCTCATTTTCCTCTTTCCTCTCTCCCACAGGCCACAACTCTTCTCCCTTGCTTTTTCTAAATTAAGGTATGGGTGCAGGCTAACTTACTAAACCATGGGTATATTAATGGGCAAATCCTTACCTATTGGGTTCATATAGGTACGGGAATGGCTCTGCTCTACCCAAACCTATAAACCCATAGTTATATATATGCCCGACATGCAACTATAATTTAAAGCCTTCCCAACCTAAGTACTCCAAAACATGATCCAACTAGCACACCTAGTGCCATATACATGCCATTTTTTGTTTACATTTTGTTACATGTTTGTAGTTCCATTATTTGCTCATATAATCATAGTTTAATGCATGTGTGCATTTCTTCTTGGTTATAGGAAACCGTATATGATGCCTATAATTTTAATTATTGACCGGAACGGAGGGAGCATTATATATTGGGTGAATTCTATGGATTGCAATGGCAATGTGTTACGTTCCTTGTTGAAGTTCGGTGAAGAGGTTCGGTGCTGGTGTCCACGTTGGAGAGCATGGCAGAAAAGGGTGCCCGATGACATCTTGTGCCAAACTACTAACGGAGCACTTTGCTTACGTACTTGCTAATGATATTTCCATGTGGGCCGGGATTCTCTCTAAGTTCTGTGTGCTGACAGGCATTCGCCGTTAGGTAAGACTGTCTCCAAAAAGGAACCCATATAGACACCTAAACCTAAAATGGGTAGCAAGAGACTCAAAATCAGTCTCCAACAGAGTACCTATACGGGAGATCTGTTTTGGGTTGCCTGAGAGCCACAACCCAAATATGGGCATCCTCTCTCCTAGAAACCTATTTGCAGAAAGGATTCTCTTTTATGTCTTATTGTTAGAGAATATGCCGAATAGGTATTGAACCTTTTGCCTATAGCGTTACCCAAAGGACGAATGGGTCTTGTATTTTGGGTGTTTTTATTGGAGATAGCCTAAGCTATAAGCTAAGCATGCAAGCATCCAAAAGACCAGAACGGCTGGAGTGACGAGGCAGAGTGGTTGCAAGTTTGGAAGGTACCACGTCATCTCCGAGAGACAGGTCCAAAACGGTTGTCTTTCCTTTCCCTTTCCTCGACGTTGAACCCGTACCATACCCTAGCCCCTCCATCGCCAATTCACCATTATATCGTGCATTGGTGCCGCCGAGACGGTCACTTGATGTAGGTCTTATGATAGGTTGTAAATTAAATAATCTTGGAATACTTGCTGGTCAAGAGGTTAAAAATTTGTAATCTATCACGAGTTATAGAAATTATGGATCAAGATTTCCCTGCGGGGTGCTTGATTTGGTTACGCTGTTGAGATTATTGGGCCGGTCCGGGCGTGCGCAACTTGTACTTCACGGAGATCAAGGTTGGGATGCCGCCGAAGCGCTACCGTCCAGGTCGACACTGGCAGCCACATCCTATCAGTTAACTTCATCTCCTGTCCACAATAGTGGACTCGGGGTAACCATTTCCCACTTTTTCTTTCTTGTATCTCAAACTAGAAATTAATTCAGTTGTGTTCATTTTGATGTTGAATGTGGTGTGGGCGTCTATGCGTAGTTTCACTTATGTTATGTGACCCCAAGGCATCCTCAAGCGAGAGCACGGTTGTCAGGGACCAAATACTGGGGTACCCAAAGAGGAGCTAATAATCATCAAACGTTGATGCTTTCGAACAGACAAGAGCGCGACTACACCTCTTGCATAACGACCAGGGGCAGACTCTGCCTCGCCCGATGTCCGGGGGCTGGCTCTGCCTCACCCGACGTCTGAGGGCAGACTCCGCCTCGCCCGACGTATGAGGGTTGGCTCCGTCTCGCCCGACGTCTGAGGGCAGACTCTGCCTCGCCCGACGTCCGGGGGCTGGCTCCGCCTCGCCCGACGTCTGAGGGTAGACTCCGCCTCACCCGACGTCCGGGGGCTGGCTCCACCTCGCTCGATGTCTGAGGGTAGACTCCGCCTCACCCGATGTCCGGGGGCTGGCTCCGCCTTGCCAGATGTCTGAGGGCAGACTCCACCTCGCCCGACGTCTGAGGGCAGACTCCGCCTCGCCCGACCCCCGGGGGCTGGCTCTGCCTCGCTCGACGTCTGAGGGCAGACTCTGCCTCGCTTGACATCCAGGGGCTGGCTCTGCCTCACCCGATGTCTGAGGGCAGACTTCACCTCGCCCAACGTCTGAGGGCAGACTCCGCCTTGCCCGACGTCTAAGGGCTGGCTCCGCCTCGCCTGACCCCCGAGGCTGGCTCCCCCTTGCCCGACATCTGAGGGCAGACTCCGCCTCGCCTGACATCCGGGGGCTGGCTCCGCATCGCCCAATGTTTGGGGGCAGACTCCGCCTCGCCCAACGTTTGCACGCTGCACCTTCATAACTACGCGCATAGATAAGGCAGGACACTCAAGTCAACCGCAATACCAAGGACCATACCCTGCATGCCTGTAGTAAAGTACCATCAGGATATGACAAGACGAGCGTGAAAGCATCTAGGCCCCTAAGTGGATTTTGGTGATTAATGTCAATACAAGATTACTATGACTAACGTGTGTTTTGCAGAGGCAATTAAGTTAGGTCATGGTAATGGAGATCGATTGGGCAATTGAGGTTGTCATGCCCCCACGATGGAAATCGTTTCGGTTTTCAAAGGATGGACGACAAGGTTAAGGATAACTAGTTCTAAGTGTCAATTGAAGTTGGAGAGACACTTAGAGTAGTTTAGGACTTTATTTTTCCTTTGGCCATACTATGAAGGGGGGTATGAACGGGTAGCTTGACCTAGTTGAGTCTAGTGAGTTAGGTGTGGTGCACTCTTGTTAAAACTAGCTCTAGGTAGCTCCTATGAATGCCTAAGATCCTTTGGAGCAAACTTTATTCTCATATGATCGAGAGTTGGAAGTGAATGAA